TTTTCAGAGGTAAACTGCCACAGTTATCACTATAAACAGAAAGCTTGACGGGCGTAGCAACAATAACTACAGGCAGCAGGATTAGCAAACGTCAGTCAGCAGTGTTCATGGTGGAGAGCAGGTGAGGGATCGTGTCCTTGTCACTGTAGCTGTGGATACTAATTACTCAGGACTCTCGAATTTGAGTTTGTTGCCGTATAAAAGGAGACTCTGAATAATGTAAGTATCTCCCCATATCTCTTGTTACACTGCAGGAGGAATATACACATCCAGCAAAGTTATAAAAAGGCACATGTACACACATACTACAAATGTGACTAACGGACTGAGGTGAGAAGATGTCAGCTCCCTAATCTTGTGTTTCAGTCTCTAAGCAGTGGATTGGCTCCTTGTGCTGAAACTTCAAAAGGTGATTGATGATTTTAATTAGATGTTGGGGCCCTGCTGGGAGCTGTCAGTGAGACTTGAGTGCCCTCTTTTGGGCTTGGAGGACTCTGGCACTGACCCAGATATTTGTCTGGCTGATACCTTCAGTGACTCGGCCAGGCGGGGTTTCTGTATTCAGCACTATAAAGACAGAGTTGAAAGATCCAAAGCTCTTACCTGAGACCATATAAAAGCTCACAACTCTTTTTGTATTAAAGATGTCCGGCTTTTGTGCTGTCCAGCCACTTTATCACCGAACTGGAGGCTCTGATTTGCTGCAGCAGCACCGGATAAAAAGAGATCAGGCTCCTCGGGAACCAGAGGCAAATGGCAAAGTATATTTGAAGCAGACTGGTGCTATCGCAGGGAGTTACTGCTGCAATTTACCTTGCTGCTTGTTACACACACATACACACACACACACACACACACACACACTCACACACACACACTGCAAAGCCTCTGTCAGCACAGGTTAGGGCAGACTAGCTGGTGTAAGTAATGTGCTCTGACCCAGATCAACTTCTAAAGTCACTTAGCCTCGGATAGGGCAGCTTTAAAGGTCTGCTGGCTCTGGATTAGTGTAGCTTTGCACAAAAGTGTACAACTGCTGAATATATCAGTGAGATAAACATTAATGAAGCGATGGTGCAGGTTTTTAATTTAACTGTAAGAAATTAAACCACATTATCAGGATGAACAATGCACTGAGTCCAGTATCTAATTGTTGTATTAGTAATTTCTTGGAACCCTCCCCTGAGACACAGGCTTACTGCTCTCTGCATGAAACCAACAAGACCTCAAAATTAAAAGCAAAAATACACCTTTGTCCGAGCCCTCGAACAAAGACACACAGCAGCACCGTCTGATCCGATGCCTCCGTCTGCAGCACAGCATCATCTGTGAGTGCCTTCAAAAACCGTCACAGCTGCAAAATAAATCTGTTTTATGATGTGACCAGGGTTGGAAATTAACTTTTTTGTCCATCTGCCACTGCGGCTGGCGGGATCCAAAATCTTCCTGCGACTCAGTAGATTACCATTGTGATTTTTTGGCTGGAGAGTGAAGCTAATCCAGCAGCCATTTGAATATGTTATCAGCATTTGTCTGGTGCTAATTTCCAACCCTGGATGTGAAAATGCTATGTTAGGGTTTAGTTCAGCTTAAGCACAAACACGACCTGGTTAGACGGGAAACACGGTGGTTTGGGTTAAAGTAAGTACTTTGTCAAGGTTAGGGGATCATTATGGTCATGCTCACAGCAACACACTCTCACTCTGACCTCGTCACATATTGACATTTGGTCACGGACTTTCCATGTCCTCATAACACATGCAAGGTACCCTGGGTGTGTTGGCTGTTGTTGTTCTGGGATGCTGTGTCAAGTTCTCTTCTTTCAAGATACACTTCACAAAATGAAGTTTCACTACACTGAAGCTATCTCCAGAGGAATGCAGCAAGCTAAGCTACGAGGAAATGGAAAAAGTAGCTCACTACTTGCAAAGCTACTTTTATGCATGTCTCTGTCTCATCCTCTTCCAGTCGGCTCTCTGGCTCTGTCACTAATTCAAAAACAGAGTTTCAAAATATATTTTTCAGTCAATAAAACCATGATAAATAAAAGACAGTAACATAAACAACTAGAAAAGCACTCGGAGAGCGCAGACCTCCGCCAAGCAGCTCGGACTTCTCGCCATTTTATTATTTTATCCACTTCGCTTTAACCAATCACCACCAAAATTTTATCATCTGTTACTTGTCCCATTATCAACCTTTCCTGAAAAAACAGACAAACAGACCAACGCCGGCTAAAACATAACCTCCTTGGCGGAGGTAATGAAAATAACAGACTGAAATTAAAACATATCTTTTACAGCATGTCCCTATATCTCCTCTTGTCCTTCTTCAAACTGTCCTCTGTCTCTCAGCTCTTCTCTTGGACCTTGTTGTGTCCATTTCTTTTGTGTCCACTGCAAATCTTCTAAATATTTACTATATATTTACAGTCTATTGGCGAGACGTGAGAGATGCATCAAGAAGTGCAGTGTAGCCAATCAGAGGCAGAGTAGGGCAGGTCTTACAAAGAGAAGCCAACAGCGAAGCAGCATGCAGAATAAACTGGAGGATTAGTATGTGATGTCATACAGGAAGTGCTTCCCTCATCTACATGCTTTGGTGTGGCTCTGGCTTCAGTCACATGACTTATCCTCATTTCTGTTATCTTGACTTTTATCCAAACGTCTGCAGAAAAAACAGACCGCTGCACTTCAGAGCTTTTCCTGGGAGAGAGCTTGGAACTTTTATGTACTCTACTGAAAAGCTATCTAGTTCAGAAAGTAGTGACGTCACCACCACGCTCCTGAGAAATGTAGTTAAAATTTGTAACATCGCTACTGTCTAACGCTGTGCACAAGTTACCTTACATCATGTACTTAGCTGACATCATGTCGTGAAGTTTCTAAACCTCACCAACTAGTTTCAGAGTGTCACTTAAATGGCTAATTTGTAGCGAAGTGGAGGGTGGAGACCAACTATCCACAGCCAAATCTGATCCCAGCAAATGAGTATTTGTCTTCAGTGAGTTTGTTTATGTTGCCTCAAAAGATGTGTAGAATTCCTTTGGAGTATTATTACTGGAGTATCTTTACTGCCACACATCTTACATCTTTTGCTTGTTCCTGTGAGCTGCAGGCATCTTCCGGTCTGATCGCCGGTTATGTGATTGGCGACTGCAGCGTGTTGTCCCGTTGTGTTTCTCCAAAAGTTGATTCAGTTTCATAGTGATGAGCGAGTGCACCATTATCTGTATCTGTTCAATCAACTAAATTATCTGTATCCATACTGGTAGGGGGCATGCTCTGATACAGAAATGGGTGGGGTCTAACCAGGAAGTTAGTATTTTAAAACCTGAAATTGACATGAATTGATTAGACGTTGCTTTATTTATTATTTATTGGAAAGCTATTGACAGACCAGTCTCAGAATTGAGCTTCAGACTATTTTAAATCACAAAAATAAGGGAATTACTTTATTTATTTATGTTTATTAAAGTGGCTATTGGAGTAAGAACAAAATATGAATATAAACTTAAACGCGAGCAGCACGGTGGTGCAGTGGTTAGCATTGTCACCTCAAAGCAAGATGGTTTCTGGTATGAACCCAGGGTGGGGGAGCCCTTCTGTGCAGAGTTTGCATGTTCTCCCCGTGTCAGCGTGGGTTTCCTCCAGGTGCTCCAGCTTCCTCCCACAGTCCAAAGACATGCAGGTTAATTGGTGACTCTAAATTGTCCGTAGGTGTGAATGTGAGTGTGAATGGTTGCCTGTCTCTGTTGCAACTTTTTGCTGCAGGCATCCCCTGCATCCACGTCACCACAGCCTAGACCCACTACCCACATTCAAACAATAGGAGGTCATATTGTCTTGCAGCAATGCCTGATTTGGTGTGAAAGCAGCCTGATGTTTGTGTTTCCAGACTGGCTGCAGTGCATGTGTTCATGGTGTCTAACTGCGGCTGTTCACAACTTTAACCACGTGTTTATAACTGCAAGTGTTAGTCCGTGCGCCTGTCTCTGGTGCTCTCAGAGGTCATATGTGTGGTTTTAAGTCACTGGTAAATCACCTATTCTGGCGCTCAGGTATGAGGACGTGTTGGCTACGACCTTTCTCCTCACCATCAACTGCTGCACACAGATCTGTGTGTCTAAGTGTCAGATCCTCTTGTCTGTGCAGGAGGTGCAGGCTGTGGTTTTGTCTGTGTGTGTAATCAGGTTATTAGTCTGCTCTGCGTTGTGGCTGCAGGCTGGCTCTGTCTGTGGTGTCTTTTTGTGGTCTGTTGGGGATGTAAAGCTGTTGAGGTCTGTGTCTGTGCTCCCAGTCAGTGCCAGGTGTTATGCATTTCACGCTCACTGCCTTGCGTCTCACTTGGGGTTCGAGCGCTAACCTCACACACACACACGCGTCACACACACACAAAAACCCAGAGCAAGCCCCCTCCTCCAAATTGTCTTCCTTTGTGCTCATTGTCTCGTCTTCTCACCTATCATCTTGAGTATTTTTTTTTTTTTCAGTAAGCATCTGCTGCCTGCCATTATCACTCTGCCTCCACTCCAACTTCTGCACTGTTTCTTTCGGCTGCTTTCTCTACTGTTTCTCTTTTTCACTGCTCTTCTGTCTGCTTCTCTTTCTCTAATGACCTGCCTGACCATTCCCATTACGTCTCTGTGTGGTCCGAGTTGATTCTTGTTTCTGTTTTCCCTCCACACACACACGCACACACACCTGCCTGTCAAGGCTGGAGGGGGCAACCTCCATGCAGCTTGCCAATCTGCTCACTTTATCAGTGGTGCAGCACACACACCAGAGATGATTCATCACAAGACTGCAACAACGCACAAATCATACAAAGTAGAAAACAAACAACACTCACAGCACAAACAATTCAAACACCTCAACTCTGACAACTTTCTATTAAAGCTCCATCCTTTTTCCCACACAAACACACCCACTGACACGCTTCTCTCATGCACTTCAAACACCCTTGACCCTTGCTTCCACACTTATAAATACAACTCTTACCGTGAGGGTGGGGATGGCTGTGACGAGTGAGTAGATGAGCACGGGCGGGATCTTGCTGGTGTCGTCCGGACCGGGGTAGGGCTTAGAGAAGGTCTTGTCGTAGCAGAAGAAGCCCTGGATGTGCACGGGGAAGGTGTCCGTGTACTCGAAGTAGTAAGCCAGCAGCACCGTCCCAGCCATGATCACCAGCTGGAAATAGAACATTATCCCTCCGTTAGGAAGTGAGAGGACGAGAGGTGAAGCAGAGGAGGGAGAGGCGGAGGAGGAGCAGGAGGAGAGGAAGAGGGGAGAGTCAAGTCCCTGTTCCCCTCAGCCACGGGGAGATGCATAGGAAATACAGACCGAGAGAAAGGGACAGAGTTAGAGATAATACGACAAGAGAGAGAAAAGGAAATCTGCAGGAGGAGGCTTCTCTCTTCAAGAGATGAACAAAAAACTGAATAAAAGAGCTCCGCGGCTGCACAAGCAGCAAAAACAAAGAATTGCACAGGGAGCGAGGGAGAGAGATGGAGAGAGGAGAGAGATAGAGGGAGGTGGGAGGGAGGGAGAGAAAGGGGGAGCAGCCTTTACGCTGCCAGCACTCATGAAATCTACTACAGTCGAGCTGTGGGTGTATTTGCAGATACTGTGTGTAATACATGAATGTGTGTGGTGACACCATGTGCACAGGAGAGTGTGTGTTTCTCACATGTGGTTCTCACCATCAGCTGACGTCTCTGCTGAAAAGTTTAATGCCGAAAATACTTCCACTGACTTCAACACCCGTGTGTTTGTGAGCAGTGAGTATTTAACACTTAAGGAGGTGGTGTTAAATATGGAGTCTGGAGAGTCGTCCACTCTGCTCTACCTGCTCAGCACCAAATGTTAGGCGCACAAAATAAGCAACTAGCTGGTGAACATGGTGGAGCTTGAAGCTGCTAAGGAGCCAGATATTTTTCTCATGACTTGATGGAGACTCATGAATACTGGGCAAATGGACAGAAGCACAACTCTAGATGAATGCTAATGTTGCTCTGCATCTGCTGGATGTGTAAATACGCATCTGTTTGCTAACTTTGCTATATAAACTTTGAAAGTGAAACCATGCCAGTGTTGTGTCCACAGCTCTGGGGCTTCATTTACAACCACTGTGTACGCACAGAAAAGGGCTTGAAATGTGTGTATGCCACTCTCTACACATTAAATGGGATTTATAAATTAAACCTAGACGAGGAAATGTGCGGTTATTAAAGAATTAAAGTAACTCTGACCCATGCGTGCGCACATTTTGAAGACAGGAAATTGGCAGCACAGGTGGCGAGGTAGTGAACTGAAGCCAGATTGTGGAAATTAGATGTGAGTATGAGCCAGAACTTTATTCATAGCACCTATCACCAGCTACCATTTTAGTTTTTACATAGTTTTTATGTGTAAAATGGCTGCAGGGAACAAGAGAGTACTGTCAGGAACACAGAGCGACCTGGAGTCACTGCGGTACTCCTCATCCAGCACATCTTCATCATCTGCACATACGAATTGTGTAAATTAGCAAAGACATCAGGGTGCAGTTCTCATTTTTTGACACCCATCTTTAGATCTGACCTTTTTTTTTCTATTTCTGCCTTATCTTTAGTTTGTGACCTCACTGCCCACCAAACGAGAGGCCCTGTGCTTTTAAACCTCCAGCTTACCTACAAGCACCTCGATTTCTGCGTCAGGAATATTTGTTTTTTTGGTTTTCCTTTCCGTCCTTCATTGCTATGATTTACCGTAAAGAACCACCGATCAGCCAGCTCGTGTCTGTGCATCAGCATTAATGAGGTGCTTTGCATTCACCATTTAAGGTTGAGTGTGGGCGTGCAGACGGCGGGATATGAAGCTGGTCCATGTGCGGACAATTTCAGATTGATTTGAGATTTATTGCGCACAGGCAGGTTCACGCATTGTTTTATCAATCAGTATATTTTTTGGCATATGTACATTTCCTTATTTGTACGTATGCAAACATTTAGTCTAGATTTTCCACAGAGTTTTATAAATGAGGCCCCTGATTTCCACCAACTCCTCGGGAAAATATTTGGTTCTTTAGCTGGTAAAAGCTCCCGTTTGTTCACTGCATAGCTCCCAACTTCATCTGCCTGCTGTTTGATGCTGTGCAGGTCATGTACAGTGAGTTTATTAGGGCTTTTCACTGAAGACAGCTGCCTGCTGCTTGAAATGAAGTTGATAACAGCTCAAAGACTAAAACAGTGAAGTTGTGGGCTGTAAAAACCAAAACAATGAGCTGAAAGAGACCAAAACTCTGAGAAGAACAGAGATAAAATCCTCTGAGAGTTCATGAATACAGATTCAACCCAAATGCAAGAATAAATGTTGGCACTGTACATTTCTGCAAATTATGGATCATCAAATTTGTTCATTATTATGTACCAGAAAAATATATCATATACATATCTTGGGAAAAAACAACCACATTTTCCGTGGCACTATCCCAGCTGGAGACACAGCGATGTCCCTGTACTCTACTACTTTAAGCTTTGCGTTAGAACACAACACTCGACCCAATCACCAGGAAAAAAACCTGAATCATTGTGCATTTCTGCAAACCACAGATATGTCACATTTGTACATTACTATGTAGCTAGTAACGGCTAGCTTGGGCGGTATCACGATATTACGATATACGAGGGTATTAAAAAAGTCTGACAGTATTTTCAATACCATCAAAAACACAGACACTATTAACCTCTATTACACTATTAACACTAGTAACAGAGGTCAGTCTAGTGCATGGGTAGGCAGCCTGTGGCTCTGGAGCCACATGTGACTCTTGAGCCTCTCTCCAGTGGCTCCCTTCGGCTTTGACCAAAAAAAAAAAAAAAAATCATATGGAAATTAAGGTTTTTTTTTTTTTGGTTTTTTTTTCACATTTAAATTTTTATTAATCAGTGCTGTCGGCCTGAAGTGATTCTGACATTCTCTAATTGTAAAAATGTGCCTCTACACCAATTAACAAAGTTTTAACATTTCTGCAACTAAAATACTGGTCGGTCGTCTTCAGCCCGGTGCCTTTTCCTCTACGTTGTGAAAAATCTTAATCAGTCTGACCAGAAATCGCGATTTTGCTATCACAATAATTAACGCAAATTCAACAAAAGTCTGCAATATTTTCAGGGTCTTGAAATTTTTCAGAAGTACCACATTTTTTTTCGCATTTTCCGGCCGACCGGAAGTCGTTGCACATGCAACGTCATTTGAAACGTCATCAGATGCATCATCAAATGCGCTAATGACATAGCAGTCTGGAGAAACGCTCTGTATTGACATAAGAATTTGCACTGTGTAAATGCATACAATATGTGTTGAATGTATTAAATGAAGATGTAGCTGACATGTTGTTGTACAGTCACATTGTCTGGTTTGAGAGCGACAATATTCACTCAGGATATTTTGCAACGTTATTGGAGTCCATGTTTTGAAACTAATTAAATAAAATTAAAGAAGAGAACTATAAAAACCTGTGCAGCTATTTTTGTAATATTCAGTATGATTATTACAGCAAGTGATTACATGACTTATTTTTTTGGAGATAGTAATTTTAAAATAAAGTAGAATTTTTTTCTCCTTTCTTGATTAGCCACAATTTTTGTAATTTGCCGCAATTTCCCGCAAAATATCCCATAAAAATGCCGCAATTTCCATCGCAATTTTGACAAGATTGGCTGCAAATTCATCGTTTTTTTGCTGCGAGATCCTGGAGGGACTGATTAATAGCTGTGGCTACAGAAGTCTTGAGGCTCCCTAGCTTTGCTCTGGATTCCAAATCCAAAAAAGGAAACGTAATGGAAAGAACAGAATTATACTGCACGTGAAGAGATTTGTTTGCTTTTACTGCCAACTCTGCCATGTTAAAGTTCCTGATAATCATAAATAGCCCACTGCAGTGCCACCTGGTGGTTAAACATAATGATGAATAGATTTAATAGTCTGTGTCACCTTCATTGTAGTGTTCAATTTGTTTAGTGGCTCTGGAAAGGTTTTTTTAAAATTATTTTTAGGCAAAAATGGCTCTTTTGCTAGTGAAGGTTGCCGACCTCTGGTCTAGTGCAACAGTAAGCTACACTGACTGCAAGTTGTATGTCACAGTACTGTTAACAGCAGAGAGACAGAACAGACTAGATTTTTTTAGGGGCTTTTTTACCTTTATTTGATGGGACAGACTTAAGCATTATTTGGACTGGATTAGTTTTACATGGGCACGTGGGGTAATGTCACGTTACCACAGGTCGTAATATTAATGGCCAGTTCGCACGGGATAAGACAGTAAAACTACCACAAGTGGGAGCGGTAAATCCATTCACGCACTGCCGTCCCCTCCTGTCGTCATGTGCGTATGACGTTGCATTTAGTAGAGTTCGAGTAATATTTGAATTTTTTTTTTTTTTATTTTATTTTATTTATTTATTTTTTTACAATAAATAAGATGCTTTTTGCTGACGCATTATGAACGTGACACTCGGATGAAAACACCCGTTCTGACCTCACTATAGTGCCAGTTATGACCAACTTCTGCCTCGCTATCTGAGCAATGTTTGGATACTTCAGTGCGTAGTTTTCCACCACAAGAGTGGATCTTGGTCGGCTCGTAGTGGTGTCTCATTCTGGTAACGTTTCATCTCTTCTTCAAAAAGGGTAGGCAGGGAGGCAGCAGGTGCAACACTCTGCCTGTATGTCTCCCTGAACAGGTCGCACATCGCGGACAGCGCAGTGGGTGGTGTTGGCGCAGCGGGCTCCTCCGTCGGGGCCTCTCCCTCCGTCGCTGCGTCCCTCTCTGGCCCGGCTTGTGTGCGAGCCATCTCCACCTGAATGGGATTCGCCGTGATATACAACATTATTGATAGTATTAATTAATTATTAATGATATTCGAATGATCAAATTTAGGTTTGAACTTATAAAAAATATATATATATTCGAATATATTTCAAACTTTGAATTTTTTTTGACAGCCCTAACACACATATTTACTGCTGGTCTATTCGCACAGGATTAGTATTACCTGAGGTGATTTTCCGGGACCCTTTTGCAGAAGGTAAAGGTCGCGGTAATCTTTACTGACATCGTGCGGTAATGATTACTGACATGGCACATTCGGACGGGACTAAGATCTCTGGTAATTATTACTTTACCCCACGTCCCTATGTAAAACTAATCCCGTCTGAATAGGGCTTTAATATGAAAGGGGGAAAGAGAGTGGAGATGACATACAGCAAAGAACCGCAAAAGTGCCACACACAAATACCGTCATATGCTGTGTAACCAGGTGAAGTTCTAGAAAGGTATGAAAACAAAAACAAGACACCACACAAGCCTAAACAACACTGTGGTTAATGTGAGGATGGACCATTTATTTAGTCATTCCTTTTCTGTAACTGCTTATCCTGTTGAGGGTTGCTGCTGGCTGGAGCCTATCCCAGCTGACACTGGGTGAGAGGCAGGGTTCACCCTGGACAGGTCACCAGACTATCACAGGGCTGACACATAGAGACAGACAACCATTCACACTCACATTCACACCTACGGACAATTTAGAGTCACCAATTAACCTGCATGTCTTTGGACTGTGGGAGGAAGCCGGAGCACCCGCAGAAAAATTCTTGCACAGAAAAAATATTTTTTTACTTTCAGATTCGCTTTTTCTTCCAATGTTCTCCTGAATGAACGGATGAAATGGTGTGTGAGGACAGAGAGAAGAGGCTGAGTGTGAAAGTCTGAGGCCCTCTGGGATGTTCAGCTAAAGTCACATCACTTTGACCGAAAACGTGGCTCCACATGGCACAAACACTCGCACATGGCATGCACTAAAACATACAGTACAAGCACTGTAAATATGTACAAGTGCAACCAAACACCCACCCACGTATCACATGTGCGCACACACACACACACACACACACACGTTCTATTTATTTTTTATTTATAGACTGGTTTTTTTTTTTACTTGCTGTGTTTCTTTATTTGTATCTAATCAGCCTTCATCTGCGCCTCCCTTGAGAGAGATGTGTTTCGCTATCTGTGGTTGTCATGGTGAGGAAGTGACTGAGGAATCAGGTATATAATATTCTGTACTTTTAGTGCTTCCACGTCAAAACTTAGTTCGTAGACACCAGTCTTTTTGAAAGGCTGGTGTTCATATGACACGTTCTGACCCAACATTAAACACATATACCAGCAGGTATCGCTGTGTGTGTATTTTCTGCATGTGCATGTTGGAGGTGAGGGGTTGCATACACACCTGACGGCAGCTCTTTAGTGAGTTTGCTTTGGGCGAGAGGGGGTGTTTGATGTGTGTGACTCATGAAGCTTTCCCTTGTTTTCCTGTTTAATACCGAGGTGCTCCTCCCCTGCATTTATCCAGCGTATTGTGACTGGCTCTGACTCATGCTTGTGACTGTTACACTGAAGGAACACCAGTAATTCACAACGCTGCCTTAAAATCAGCAGAACACTTTGAGTGGAGTTCAGCTGTTTTCATGCCTCCTTAATTTTCTCTCAGAACCATGAAAAGGGCATTCAAGAATCCTGGAGATGTGATTTTGCCTCGAGCTCCTGCAAATCTGCAGGTCAGAGTTCATGTTGTTGAACTTTAACCTGTAAACTCACATGTCCAGCTGAGAGAAGCATTTCTTTTTTTGGTGAATCATCCTCTGTGATTCTGGATTTTTCTCACCGCCCCATTTTAGGTCACACTGTGCAGGAAACTACAAAAAGCAGCATGCACTCAAGCGTAACATAACAAAAGACTGAGTGTATTTATGCTGCTTTAATATGCTGGAAAATGGTGCTGAGCTACTTCCACAATACCAAACATGAGTCCATGTGCATACCTCTATCAGTGGTAATACACAGATTAGCCAGCTGTTGGCTGTCCTGTCTCACCCTGACAACCTCCTTACAGACCCCTGCCCTCTTTTTAGCACCTTTTTGAACCCACTTTCACCTTTGCCCTCATTTAAACCTGCTATTAACATGAGTCTTAGGTGACCCAATCACAAGTGGGCAGCTCTGAGCCTGTCTGTTCACATCTGGCATAAGAATGTGTCTCCACATGCGTCTACAGTAACCACACGTGATCAGATCTAACTTTCCCGCTCTGTATGCAATAAACACATACATCATTTCCAGGCATTGCTGTTGCACTTCCCACGCCTAGTCTGCACGAAATTAGAAAAAGAAGAAGCAGAAGAAGAAGTTTGCAAAGACATCGGAGTGCAGGTAAATTTAAAAGAATGAAAAATACAGTTTGGGTCTATTCCTTGGTGTGTTCCAGGCAAACCAAATCGTCCAAGATGTTTGATGCACTCATGTTGAAAATGATGCTGTTGGTACACGATTGAGTACGTGTTTCAGCCCACACAGAGGACATCAGCTCAACAGGCTGCGCTTCGATGTGGTGCAGCTCTTTGTCCGACCAAGAACTTGCAAATTGTGGCAAGGTAAAATCATTTTTAATAGGAGCGATGTGTGAGCTTTATATGGCTTTGGGTATTCGGCAACAGCCACTATAAGCTGACTAGCTAGCTGCTATAAAGTACTTTGTCTGATTGGGCTGTATGCGATCCAGACCACATCCGAATGTGGTCTGAGCGATAGGATCTCAGGACACATCAAGGATGCATTGGGTGCAGCAACACCTGTAGTTAGAGCTGTCCACTTGTGATCTGATCACTCAAGACGTATGGCAATACCAACTGTGAACAGAGCTCCAGAGACTCCTGCATTCTTCCCTTCC